CGTTCGCCGGAGTTTGGATTGATTATGTGGTAGCACGTGGCTTCCCTCCATGTCTCACAGCTCCTATGTACGGAAGCCAGGGCACTCCGTACATCAAAGGATAACATTGCGCTAGGCATCGAGGTCTCTTCGCATTTGAGGAAATATGCTAAGGTAGAGGTCGGGGATAAGGTTAAAACATGTGTAAAGGGAAACTGCAACTATACATCAAGAAAATATTCTAGGAGCCAGTGGTCTGAAGAAACCTTTGAACTTAAGGAGGTAGGGAGAGATGGACAACTAAACAAACACTATATTGGATGGATTGAATAAAAAAAATACAACAGATACGACATTTTATTAATTGATGAGTAAATGCACTTAAAGAACACTTTATAATATATTGAATGAGAAAAGGAATAAAGAAACGATGTGTAGATTTACTGAATGTGAAATTTGTAGCATATACGGACAGGGTTTATATAAGAGTGGCTATTTTCATAGACACTTGAGTAGTAACGAGCATAAATTCAATTCTGAGTTCCAGGAGTTAAATGACAAATGGGGAAAGGAGAAAAACCAAACAAAGAAGGATAAGCTTTTTGAAGAAATGGAAGAAATGGAAGCACTTGAAACAAAATACCCGAAGAAAATAAGAAAATCAAGAAATGCGAATACCATGTTAGAGATGGATGAAGAGGAAAGGAACGATCTTGAATAAGACCAATAACAAATACAAGAATGATGATTCAAATTAATACACGTAACATTATCGTTGAACCCCTAGAAAGTAACAAATCTTAGTCCAATGGCTAACCCGAAGCTCTACAATCATGGCTTTAGTTGTAACAACGCTTGAGTAGCGATGATGTAAAATATTTATTGAAAAAATGCTACTTAAAGTAAATATTTCGTTAAAAAATGTGTAGGGAAGTGAAAAATAAAACGCTTAAGGTGCTTAAGTCATTTCTTCGCAAACTTTTGGAAAATTGATCTTAACCCTAGAAATTAACCCCAGTAGCGGGAAAAGTTAGACAATCGGCTAACCCGAAGCTCTACAATCTTGGCTTTATGTTAGGTTATTCTACGAACAACCTAACTAAAGCCCAGCTAAGCTTAGAGACAAGCCGAGAGAAAACGAAGCTAGGGGCCAAGTCAAAAAGTGCAAGAAGTAAGTGTAAGAAAATAAAAACGAGAGAGGAGCGACAAATACTTAAATGAGGGATACCGGTACTAGGGAGTGAGCGAAAAAACGAGCGAGGTGACAAGATTAAGTGAGAGAAGTGAGAAAACGAATGAGACAACGCTTAAAGTAGAAGAAAACGCAGCAGAGACCCAAATAATGAATTCAGAGGGTAGAGAGGGAAAGTAAAAACGAGGGAGGAGACGAGGAGTGAGAACAAGTGAGATATTGTTGAAAAACAACAAATGAAGCAGACACGACAACGTACATCATTGCACTCCTGAGAAACCCCTCTTTACCTTTTTTTGGAGGCGCCCATTTCAATGCCATCCTCCGTTGAAGAAACTGCGCTGCAAGAAAGAACCCATGGATCCCTTCGCAAACGGTTCCCCATCCCGGTTGCGGGCCTGGCCTTTCGCGGAAACAGCGGCTCTGGAGCATGGAGCGAAAAAGTGCACTGTCCATGTGTTCGGATGCTCTCAGCAGTGGCAGGCTTGCAGTCTTGGCGACATCTTTCTTGAATGAGCGCAAGAGAAGCTCCCAAATACCTCCGTGATTTCGCGCGTGGCTGGGCCGCAGGCCCACAGCCCTGGTGTGGTCGCCCAGATTTTGTGCCCTCTCGACATACCATGCCACCCGAGCCGGATCTTGACAAAAACAAGCTTCTGCCACCATCCTTTGCAATCCCAACAGAGCAATCCCTCAACAAGAATCACGAAGTCTGAGGCTGGGGTCAGAAATCCCCTGGCTCGTGGACCCTACAGAGAGTCGACAGATGGACAATGAACAGCTGCAACCCTACTGTAAGGACAAAGGTGTGGAAAACTCAGAACCTCGAAAGGAGATGGAGATTTTGGAAGACCCGCCGCTGTTGCGAGATGCATGCGTATCTACTCACCCAATTTCACCCTCCTCACATTGGCACAGTCTACACTCCTACTGCATGTAGACACCACGCTTCTCCCATGACCATTTCTTGTCTCCATAAATGCTGTCTGCTATCATCCTTGTGCCTCTGCCAATTACGCAACCCCCGAAACCTTGATCTGCTCTTCTCTGCCAGGGAAGCAGAACACAACCGGCGGTCCGGTTTCAAAGGGCTGTGGAACTTCGAAGCCCCCTTCGTCTTCACCCTTTGAAGCCTTCGAAGCCTTCAAAGGGGGGGATGAAGCCCCTTCACCTTCACCTTCGAAGCCTTCGAAGCCCCCCTTCCCCTCGTCCTTCCCTTCGAAGCCTTCGAAGGCCCTTCGTCCTCATCCTTCGAAGCCTTTGAAGCCTTTGTCTTCTCGCTTCGAAGCCTTTGAAGCCTCCCCACCGCTTCGATTCCTCCCTTGTTTTCATTCGCTTTTTGCCGCCTGATTTCTTGTTGTGCGGGAAGAAAACCTTTTTGATTTGTTGTCTGTTTCGTGTGCTTTTCTCTGTGGCCAGCAGAGGAACCACCAATAAGAGATGAAAAAGCGCTCCCCCGAACACTACCCCCCCCCCCCGTAATGTAAAAACTGCCATCTCCCAGAATTTCGTGATTTCGAGCCGGCCGTTAAATAAAAGAACAGTAGGGTGGGCCGGGGGATTGTATTAGTTTTATAGAGCCAAGACTGACTACAGTAAAGGACAGGGCTTTAGGGCTTAGGGGTGAAGGCTCGACAGCCGGAACGGCTGCGTAGGAATCGGTCGTTGTGCTTGGTTTGGGCTTAAGGCTTTGTAGGGCTTAGGAGTTAAGGCTGAAGGCTGTAGGGCTCTTAAGGCTCAGAGCCACAATCTGCAGTAATCCTACTCATACCCGGATGCGCCGAACCCCCCCCCCATAATACAAAACCTAAACCCCCGGAATGGGTTTATATGTTAGGGAGGGGGGGAGGGGGGTTTAATATTAGGGGGTAGACCAGCCACATGTCCTATATCCCTTCTCGCTCATGTCCGCGGGTGGCGCCCACCTCATGATCCCAGCCACCGGAAGTTGCGAAGTATGGATCGTAGAGATCGTCGTTGTGTCCGATGACCGTGGTTGTGATAATGGCCTGAGTCAGACCAGCGCAGCGGAGAAAAGGCCCCATTTTGCCTGAGGCCCTGACGCAAGCGTAGCAGAACAGAAGGGCCACCAGACAGATCCATCCCAGCGTCTTCAACGACTGCAGGAGGCCGGAGACCATGAGCCACAGCTCTTTAAATAGCTTCAAGAGCCGCAGCAGTCGTGCCAAACGCATCATGCGCACGAAGCGCAACATTGCCACCACCTAAGACGAGCCATGTGAAGTGGTGAAGGGAACAGCACGCCCGACGGCTCTGCGGCTACTTTTTTCGTGGCATATCATGGACTCCTGAATTTTTTGCTGCATTTTGGAATGAACTGCGTGAATTCTGGAGGTGTGTCTGTTTCTCAAGTTTCGGGGCGAGTTCCGACGCCCAGGCTGCCGTTTCGCGGTGCGGATTCCGGAGTGAATTTCGGGTTGAGTTCTGAGACTCACCCTGGCATTCATTCCCACGAGAAATGGCTTCCAGAGTGACTTCCGGCGTGAATTCCGGGATAAGTCCTGGAGCCCACCCCAAGGTTCATCCGAACTCCTGAAATGCACAGGTCCCGTTACAGTCACTTCCGGGTGCATTTGGGGGTGAAGTGAACTCGCCTCGGAAATTCACCAAGCTCCGGCATTCATTCAGAAATCCACAAGCCGCACGAAACGGCAGCCTTCGCGGTCGGAAGTCACTTCAGGAACAGACACGCCTCTGGAATTCACTTTCCGACTCACGCGACTGATATGCAATACTTTCCATGTGCGACTCTGGCCTTCCTGCGACCCTGCCGGGCGCCAGGCGCGAGCGGTGCCACCGATGCCAAAGGGAATCAGGATCAACGTGTCGACACAGGAGACCGAGACGATGATGAAGTCGGCGACGTTCCATGCCCTTGTCACCGGATTCGTGAAGTACCGGAGCCGATGGAAGTAGAGCCGCAGCAGCAGCTCAAACAGGAAGATTATGCAAAAGATGAGTTCAACGATGTACCACAGGCGATCGTCATGCTCTTCCTGCGTCGCAACCGCGTGGGCCACGGAGTCTGTCTCCAAACCAATCGTCACCGAATTCAAGGCGATCACAACGCCCAAACCTCATGCTGTTGCTTGTTTTGTGTAGAAGAGGACTGATGCCCAAAAAATGTCAATGCGGCCTCAGGCCCGCACACATATTGAAGGTAGGAGTATCGACAAAGGGCTTCGGCGGGCGTATTTCAGTGCCGTAGTCGTCATTGTCTTCTTCATCTGAATCCTGTCCCTGGCACAACCGGCACTGGCGCCAGCTAGCAGCTATCAGCTAGGGCTAGCTGCTGCTAGGGTCTTCGCAGACTGCTTTCTGCACGGGCTGTGCTGGCGGCTGGCCTGATTGTACTTCGCGACCAGGGCATCGATGGGATCCCGGTCTCCCTGCACGGCGCCCTTCAAGAACTCGGCCAGGGCAGGATGCGACAGCGAGAGAGGCCACTTATGCTGCGACAAGCATGGAACTCACTGCTCAGCCTCAGCGCCGGACCCCTAACCAGGACTTGGTTTTGGGTTCGGGTACACGCACGAGCTCTTCCTCCTCCTCTTCGAGCTCAGCATCCTCTTTGGACCCGGGCCCGGGTTTCTCCGCCATGGCTACCAAGATTGCTTCTCGAGCCTTGCAACATCTGGACAACTGGACAACGTAGCTTGTCTACGAGTCTAGGTCTAGGACCGACATCAGCACATCATGGCTCGATCTCAGGATGCACCAGTTTGTTGGCCAGCATCTGCAAGAGATAGAGAAGGTGCGTCTATGCCTCCCTGAGCCATCAGAGCATTTTTGACGCTACCGGCTCGCTTCAGGTGGTCGGCGTCGCGGCGACCTCACAGGAATGCGGGAATCGCAGAGGAAAGGCCCGTTGAAGGCTCTCTGACTCTCTGCCTGGCTTTTTGGTCGCATGGCCACCGTAACACTACGTGCCGTCGCGAGGACATCCCGGAGCTGCTTGATGGCCTCGGACTGTAAGGGTTTCGAAGGCTTGCTGCTGCCTGCAAAGTTTATTCTTGCTCTCCTCGGCCACCTTGTAGGTTTGCAAGACATCCTCCAAAGAGCAAGGCTTGACTCAAGCTCTGTCACTGTCTCTCTCTCCGTCTCTCTATCTCTCTCTCGCTCTCGCTCTCCTGGGCATGGGGACCGGTCAAAGTCCCCGGGCGTCAAGCCCACCCTATTCCTTGATTGGGATACGGGGAGTGAGAAACGAGCTCTCTCTCTCTCTCTCTCAGAAGGGTTGATCCTGGGGCCGTCTCCTCTCTCTTTTCGAGACATAAGCAGATCCGGCCCAAAGGGGGCCTATCCGCCCAGCGTCCAGCGCCAAAGAAAGGGTCGGTGTCACACGTGTTCACTCTGACATACCACACCATTGTAACCCTACATGAATGCTGTCACTCTTTTCTTTCTTTCTGCAGGGCGTAGGGGTCGATTCCTCGACTCTCTCTCGCTCACCCTCTCCCTCTCGCTGCCCATGCGAGCCCGGTTCTCCTGCCGACAGGTCCACCAAAGGGACACAGTCTGGCCAATCTCCCCGAAAGCCACGTAGCAACGTGAGAAATAGAGGTCCAGCATTGTGCCAGCCCACCAACCTCGGATCGTACACCCACTGCAGTTCTCACCATTTACACAGTAGAGCCCATATATAATCGCCCTTCAGTCTGGCAGAACAGGATCTTCTATCCCCACCCTTCACTCCACAGCCAGGGCAGCCATTAGTGTGGATCAGCTCCTCAAACTCGCGAGAATCCTGCCAGCAAGACCAAAAACCCGTCCACGCTCGGCGCATAGCATCTGACCTGTTCCAGCGCCGCTGCAACGTTTGCTTCCGTGAACTCTGTGGAGCCTCCCGGCGTGAGTCGCAACTCCAAACGACTGCAGAGAGTGAAAGCGCAACAACTCGATGCGGAAAGAGGCTCCATCTTTCAGGCAATCCAACTCCTCAGGGCAACGGGCAACGGCTCACCCCCACTCCAAACTCGAACGACCAAGGCATGAACATACAAAGCTTGAGCGTGCTGAGGGAGGAATTCCCGTAACGTTCCCCAAAGCTTCGAAAACTGCATACGCAGCAGCTCGCCCTACTCGTCTTTTCAGGCTGGACTATGGCAGCGACAAGCCAAACAAGCTCGATAGGTGCCGCCACACAGATCGGACTTGAAAACCCGGAGACTCGCTCCGCTTTGCGCCGCACGGCCATCTGCAAACGAATTTTTAGCATCTAGCTTGGTCTTGACACAGTTGACACACCCCGCCCCCTCGACACTGGAAGCATTCATCCCCCCGACCGGCACCGCATGGCATCGCACACCATGGACATCTAAACAAGCGCAGCAGACCCATCCAGGTCCCGTGCCGCTTGCGTCGCTGCGACCAGCTCGTCCGACTCTGCCGGGTCGCACTCGAAGCTGATGCCTGCGGCTCCACGCTCCACCAAACGCCAAAACAAGGCCTTGATGAACTGCTCCGAGAGGCTCAATGTTCCGCGGCGCGGTTTGCCCATTTGCGGTGGGGCCAAGGAAAGGTCAGTGCCCACAGACACGCTGTAGACCTCCAATCCATCCCAGACCCCAGAACCGGGATGGATTTGGCAACTTGTGTTGGCTCTCATTTCTTTTTTGCAAGGGTTTGGCGCCTGCAAATACTGTCAAATCCAGCATTCGGGTCCATGTGCAATTAGGCTGTGTTAAAAATTACACCAGCGAAGACCCCAAACAGCAATAATCCAATCAAGATGTTGCGTGAATTTCGAACAAGACAGCAAACTCGAAACGACAACACTTTGTACAGGACGAAGACAACAGTTTAGGATTTAAGGTTAAGGTTCAGGTTTAGGGGTTTAGGGCCTGGAGTCAAGTCCCCGGCGAGGCGCGTCACCGCATCCGGCTCCCAGACTCAGACAGAGCGGGGACAACAGTTTAAATTGAGATTATGAAAGGAGACAAATCCGGCTAGTCCCTTCGAGGCGTGTCCAGGCTCAGACAGAGCAGAGACAACAGGTTAAATTGAGATTATGACGGGAGACAAATCCGGCTAGTCCCCGGTGAGGCGCGTCACACTATCCCTTTCTCTGCACAAATTGAGAACCCCAATACTTCGCTGTTTAAGGAATCATCTTCTCACAACCCCATTTTAGCTTCTTGAGGCCTGCAAGTTTTGGCAAACGCAGCATCTAGAATCGTTAACGTCGTTATCGTCCTCAGTGCAGTTGTACACAAGGAAATTACATCACGAATCGCCAGGCCCCGCGCCCAGTACGAAGCTTAGGGTAAGAAGCTATCCGTGATAGGAGCTCCGTACTTCGTAGTCGCACCAGAAGCTTGAAACGCGCTCACAAACCATCGGCCAACAAAATGCAGGCACCATGTGCCTCTTCTGCGGACAGAAGTCGGTTGGGCTGAGCCCTGACCCGTGAAATCAATCCATGCTACCCTCGCGACCTAAATGCATGCATCAGTGCGGTCAACGATGGACTGCAGTGTCGCGGAAACCGACTCCGACCTGCTCCACGGCAGGCATGGTCGTTGATTTCGGGGCGGGACGAAGAGGTCACAACAGTTTCTTGTTCACAGTGTACTCGACGAAAGGGTCGGGAAGCTTCTCCTTCCGGTGTCGGTGTCGGGCTTCCCGCCAAGCCTTTTGGCCCTTTCTCTTCCGGTCACTGCGCTCGCCGCTAGCTCGGTGCTCTGCGGCCCTTCTTTTCCTGGCTCGCATGTCCTTCTCACCAAAAACTTCCGGATCAGACGCACGATGCTCGTGGGTGGCCAGGCGACAGCTTCGAAGACACCGAGGGCACTGAATCTTGCAAGGTGCATCATAGGAAGCATGAAGTACAACATGCTGTGAATCGCAGCAAGGTGCAATGTCAGCGATAGCAGCATGTGGAAGATGGACGTACAAGACATCTACGTTGGCCTTCTTTGTCACACAGCGTGTTGTTGGTGTCTAAATGAGTATTTCACACCTGGTCGAAGGCATAGCTTGTACGGTATTGTTCACATTACATATCAATCATATCAATATCTGCGTGCATATCCATCGGCAGTTCAAACTTCGTGTGGTTCGAGGGGCTCCGGCGCTGCTAGACGTAAATTTGTGCTCAGTTTCCCTTATTTGCATTGGCTGCGTCAGCGCTTCTAAGGCCACGCACATCGAAAGGCAACAATACTAATGCCAGGTGCGTGCTCATCCTCGTTGAAGGCACACCAGGCCTGGCCGCGCTGGAAGCGGAGGACTTCCACCAAGCGGGTCTCCAGGAGCCGCACCAAGAGCCTTCAAACACAGGGAGATGCCAAAGCTGGGCTGATGGTTAAAGCAGTGCTAAAGCGTCTAAACGCCGAGCGACTGGAGCCGCATGAGCTCTCGGAGCTCTTCGGAGCAAGCCTCCGCCGACTCTGCCTCCGACACCTCGTGAAAAGAAACAAGCGCAGCGAAGCTAGGACCCAGCCCCGACACAACGTGATTTACAGATTTGCAGTCCAAATAGCCGACACCATCTGCAGCGGAAAGCACAGAACCGTACTGCCCTGCAGATCAGTTTTGGATGCATGCACAGAAGCCCCGACTTCGAGCATCTTGGGCATCTTTTTGCCTTTGGCTCAACCATGTGCAGGTGCACATCTTCTCGCACTGATGTGGCTGGAAATTCGATTTCCTTGCAAGACACCATGCTTCAGAATCTTTCAGAATGCTCATGATGCCCCAACGTGCAGCTGGGTCTCTAGAGGAGTCACCGCTTGACGCATCTGCAAATCTTCGGGGCGCTGGCTGCTCGCACCGCTCCTAAAGTATGATGACAGCAAGCCTGAACTCTTGCCGCCTGGCGCTCTTTCGCCAAGACACTCCCCATTCGGGATGCTGCCCAAGTAAGTCTCCTTACATTGGAAGTCTTGGCAACTGTGGCAGCTCAGACCAGCCGCGAAGAAACAGCATGTCACATGTCATCCCACGGACATGGAAATCAATGAAATCAACATTTCCACGGCTGATTTCATGCAAGCCGTTGCAATTGGTGCAACTTACACAGGCGACGCACAGAGCGTCGCAGCTCGGACCAGGTCTCCGGGAGACCCTGCCATCGGCGAACCACTGCACTTCTTCCACGCCGCCCGCGAAACTGATTCACGAGCAACTCACAAGTACTGGACACGACAGGATTCACGAGCAGGCAGGATCCCAAGCGAAACTTGCTTAACTCATAACTTCAGCGAAAAACACAGCCGTTTGCAGCTCGATCGAAATAAAAGCTGCCTGCACAAAGTCTGGTACAACAGCAGGAACCACGAACTCGAACCGCGTTCGATTAATTCGCCGAGAGGCCAAGAGCGGCAGCAGCTCGCTTCGAGGCGGCAATCGGCCCACAAGCACCAAGGTCCACTCGCGGGGCATCGACGCGCGCTCGTTGAAGATCTGACATCAGCATGAAACGACTGACGCCTGCAACTACACAGCTTTTTGCCGCCTGAGAGGCGATCCGGAAGTTCAAGCGCAGGATCCGCCACAAGCCTAAGGCGCATGGCTCTCTGTACAGCGCTACCCCACTGGCCTCATACAAGGGGCACGGGACTGCAATGCCCACGGATCGCACAATCTGGCTTATCACAAACGGGAGCCATAACCAGCGTCTCAGAGTCTTTCAGCGTATTTACGCGCCATTTCAAAATGTGTCTTTCCGGGTTGCTCACTGTCACCGGAAATACTTGTAAAAAGAAGCATTATGAGGCATTAATAAACGGCATGACTCCACGCGTTTTGGAAAACAAGCATAAACAGGGCTGAAGCCATGGAGAAGGAACAGCAAGCGGTTTCTTTTTTTCGGGAATAGAGGCATAAAGAGGCGTGGCCCCGTGCAGACAGCAAAAGAGGCATTTGGGACCCCGCACGGCGAGAAAAGACGCATTTGGGAAAAGCGGCAGAGAGAGGCGTTAAACAGCGTGGACCAGGGGAAAAACAAAAAAGCCTGTGACAAAAAGAAGACTAGTTAGAAGCGTGGAAGATAAGCCCCCATCTGCCCCACCATGGCCATCATTCCTTAATTGCTTAAAGCAATGCTAGCAATGCCTGCCCCTCCAACCCTGAGCTCACGTCCGCCATGGCTTGACAAACACGCCTTTGCAGCCGCAATCGCGCTCTGCTCCGCGGATCGCGGGCCCAACTCCAATACTACCGAATACTGACGTCTCTACTGTCTGTGCTTCTCACGGAATACTGTGATTTGTGATTGCTTGGGCATTCGTCAACACGCTTGTGCCCAAACAGGTTGAACCGGCTCAGGCTCTTGAGATTAAGTGCATGCGGTTTCCCGCTGGGTTGCTGGGTTCAGTATAGTGGTATAAGGGGGTGTCTGAAAGCACCCACCATTCATGCTCATCATGTTCACGGGTCAACAAAGTGCACACCCAGCAGCTCGGCAGCCAAGTATACCTGAAAGATGCGATGGAGAAGCTAAACGGTTGGGGTGCACAGGCAAGTGCAGCGAGGCCAGCACGGATGGTTGCTGGTGATGGCACTTTGCAGACGACGGCGGAACTTGCCTCAAGGCAGAGAGCACCATCCGATACACAGGGCTGAGCCCGGCTGTGCTGCCGGGCGCGGGGCTCTGCGGATCTCGGTCTTCCGCCAAGCGCCAAGCCAGGAGGCCCAGCTTCACCAAGGAGAGTCTGGTGAGGCAGAAATAGGCAATCAGGACTCTGCAGGCCTCCTTCCTGTCTTCAGCTCTTATGCGTGTCCATGTGTTGTTGCACTACAAGACAGCCTGGCCTCCCTGCGGTTCCCTGACCTGGCGACACCGACTTCAGGAAGAGCAACGCCAGCAAGGTCAGAAGCACCTGTGAAAAAAGAAACGTGCCATAAAACGATGTGTTCGTGACCTGCCTCAAAGTCAGCCGGCGAGGATGAAGCATCCAAGGAGGTGGTGTAAGCCTTTGAGCCACATGGCCATTTGTCAAATTTGCGCCATTTCCCCGCACTTTGCCTCCATACTCGGCGGGCTCGGATCCACGCGCCGACCCTCAAGGCACTCCTGCGCAGAGCTGCGCAGAGCGCAGAAGGGCCAGGCCCAGACCTGGCTCAGCGCACCTGCATGGATTCGGCTGGCAAGCCGCAGATGCCGAGCATCATGGCCTCAAGGCCCAGCCAGCAAACCGTTAAGGCCCGGTGTCCGGCTGAGGAAGGTGCGCACATGGAGTTCACCTGCGCCTCGCAGCTGACGCCTCCCGCGATGTCTGCAAACAACACCTGTAGTGCTGGAAGAAAGCCTGCCTCCACTGAACATGCCACTTTCCTCAGGTCTGCAATGTCAATGTTGCATAATATGGACATGGCCTACATTGACTGGGCCTTCCTGGGGCCAAATGGAAACATCCACTCGCTAACCGTCCCGTTGGAAGCGCCCTGTGCTCCGGATGCCCGACGTGACCTTTTGCAAGCTTCGGACTTCGCCTGGGCCTGGGGGCCTGGGTCGGACAACACCCACAGAAGCGCGACGTGACCTGCACCAGCATTGTGCCGGGCAACCGCGGCATCCTTCCTGGACTGGGCTCCAGTTTTCACGGCGATTGCCCATGCCACGACGATGTTGCACCATAATCGCCTTGCCTTCGACATTGGAACGGTGCCCTCTTTCAAAGGCTCAATTCTTGAATTTTCGGGACGCATGGATGGGGCGTTAGGTCTTGCTGTCGACAAGGCCACGAACGTCTTGTGTGCGTGGGCGGGCTCCTGGGCAGAGCAAAGGGCTCTTCGAGCCTAGCTGGGGAGAGAGCCAAAGCTATCACTTGTGATCTGGAGTTCGGACCCAGAATCCACGTACCTGCAGCTTGCAGCATGCGAAAATGGCCAGGAGGCCATGCCAAAAACCTCCGACAACGAAGTCATGTGTGAGACGCCCAAAAACAAAAGCTGGCCCAGGGATACCTTAACTACGAGTATCTAGAGGGTCGATCTCAACGTGCGGTCATGGCTGGTGATCTACCAAAGTACCGCAGCCTTTCCTGTGACCAGAAAAAAAAAAGCACGGCAGCCACAACAATTGTCAAGATGTCACAGCAGCGCCGACGGACGCTTTTAGATTCAATGCCGCGACCATACAAACCGCCGTACAAATGTTCTGCAAAGTGCGTGCCGTGAATCTTAGAAGTCTAAGCTACAAACATGCGCGCATGCTTCTTATTCTTCTTCACCGACAACTCAGACGCAGCCTGCAAGCCCGATGCGCATGCAATTGGACTGGGGTTTCCAGCCAGCTCAGTTGTTCCGACCCCAACCATTGACATCTTGTTGGCCGCCTCTGGCACACATTTGTCGGCTCCATCCTCCTGCCGACGTAGGAGGGCTCCCACCCGGGGGAAATTAAAATTAAATGTTTGTGTTTGTTTGTGTGAGTGTGCGAGTGAGTGAGTGAGTATAGTGAGTATAGTGAGTGAGTGAGTGAGTGAGTGAGTGAGTGAGTGAGTGAGTGAGTGAGTGAGTGAGTGCGTGCGTGCGTGCGTGAGTGGGTGGGTGGG